TGATTTTTTCGTGCTTTGGCTGTTTGTATTTTATTTTGTTTGATACTCTTCTGATATTTTTGTTGGTATGTTGCTTTGTTTTTGTTGATGTGTGTTTTTGAGTTTGTGTTCTTTGATGGTTTTTATTTTTGCTGTTTTGTTGGTATGCTTGTTTGAATTATTTAATGATGTATGCTTTGATTAAATATTTTGTTGGGGGTTGTTCTGGTTTTTGAGTTGCTTGGTGGTTCTTATCTTGTTTTCTGTGAATTTGGCTGATTTGTGTTTATGCTGTTTGATTATTTGGTTTTATTCTTTCAAGTGCCGGTTTATGTATTTTTCATCCCCCCCTCCCCCCCCCCTCCCCCTGATAAAGCTAAAGACAGTATCAACTTAGAAACTGATGCTCATAACATTACATTTAAATGGGGTCGTGATGTGTCAGCAAGTAGTCAAGAAGAAAAAGCAACACAGAACACTGTAAGGGAAATGATGAAAATAACATATAAAGAGTAGATTTAACACCACTTCAACCGCATAAATAAATAAATGAATATATAAATATTTATATAATCGTAATGCCAACTATGAATGGAGAAGACCATAGAATTATAACTTTCGACGATGAAGAAATTAAAGACATATTCAATGGTGATGTAAACTTTGCTTGACAATTGAGCGAAGAATACTTTTATTGGTTTGATGCTAAATTCAATGATAAATATTTTATGAAAGGTATAACTAAACCGGATAAATTTGATAAAATGTTGAAGTTTTTAGAAATTACAGGTGGGGATGAAGGTTTAATAAAAACGAAAAAGAAAATTGATGAAAGACTTTTAGAATATGATTTATTTACATACATAACATTATATTATTCAGGTAAATTGTATAATAAAACGCATAAATAAATAAATAAACAAATAAACAAATAAATATACATATATATATATAGAAATGTCGGAAAATGGTGATTCTACAATTAACGATTTAATGAAAATAAATATTAGTAAGAATATTAAAACATTAACTGAACTTATTAAGAATATTGATGACAAAATAAACCAACCTAAAAGCAATAACGAAGACGATAAGGAGAAGATGGATAGAATCTTTGAAAAGAAAGGATTAGGGCGTCCGAAAGGGTCTTTTGAAGACAAACAAACACAATATGTGGAAATGTTAAACAAAGGGCGTATTAAACAACCAAAATCTGAAACATTAGAATATTACAAACTGTTTAAGAACGAAGACGGTAAATATGAAACAATATAATAAATATCTAAATCATTCTAATAATATGAATTTATTAGAATTATTTTCAGGTAGTGGGCCGGTTGGAATTGTAGCGAGGTCGTTCGGTTTTAATGTAATATCGTTGGATTTGAAAAATGCTGATATTAATTGTGATATACTTGAATGGGATTATAAACAATTTGACAGAAACCACTTCTCATTCATTTGGGCATCACCACCTTGCACAGAATACAGTATTGCAAAAACAACAGGAATAAGAAACATTGAATATGCTAATAGTATTGTATTAAAAACAGTAGAGATTATTGAATATTTCGGATGGCCGTATTTTGTTATTGAAAATCCACAGACAGGATTATTGAAAAGTCAGTCTTTTATGAATGGGCCAAGGTTTAATGACATTGACTATTGCAAATATGGATGTAATTACAGGAAGCGAACGAGGTTGTGGAACAACCTTGATAGATGGAAACCCAGACCATTATGTAATAAAGATTGTGGTAAAGTGGTTAATAACAAACATATTGAGACTGCGCAACGGATGCCATCCGTACACAATACCTGCTGATTTGATTTGTGAAATTCTGGTGAGTTTGGTGGATTAAGGAAAACGAGTTTGGGGTTGGTGTTGAAACTTGAAATTTGCAGGTTCGTCCAACGACAAAAGAGTAAAAAATATGAAATTTAAAATTTTGAAAATAATGGTTTTTACGAGGGAAATCCATAGTTTATAAAATAGATAACACCAAAATTATATAGATATATCCGGAAACTCTTGCCAACTGCCAAACAGGGCGCGAAAAATTGGCGAGAGTTCCCCTCCCCCAAATTGGGTGTAGTATTGTTCTACTATAGGGTGTAGTATTGTTCTACTATAGGGTGTAGTGGTGTTCTACTATAGGGTGTAGTAGTGATTTACTATAGCGCATCAGGCAAAGTGCCCCGCCTCTGGTCTGATGTCCAAGATGAAGGCGTAGCACGGGGGCGAGGCGAGGCGGTCGTTTGTTTCGTTTTGTTTGAGTGTTTTGTAATTGTTCTTTGTATGGTCTGTTGTTTGGTTTTTTGTGTGGTTTGTTGTTTGGTGGATTTTTTCGGGACAGGGGACTTACCCAGACCTCGTTATGGTTTTGGTCTAAAACTATTTAAAGGGATGATGCCTTACTATGGTAGAGGATGAGCGAAGATATGAAAACTTGTAAGCAATGTGGTAATACTTATTCATCTGATTTGTTTAAGAATATGATTAAACTTTGTAATTACTGCCGAGAACAAAATAAGATTAAGAATGATGAAACGAAAAAGCAATGGAAATTGAATAATCCTGAAAGGGTAAAAGGGTATAGGAAAAATACGAAGAAGAGAATGCGGATGACATTAAGGAAAGAAAAAAGAAATGGAGAGAAAGCGAGCAAGGGAAAGCAACAATACAAGCAAACCGGCAAAAAGTTCATTATTGCGAATTGTGTGATTACGAAGTTAAAAAAGGTAAGAAGTCTCAACACGAGAAATCTTTGAACCATCAATATTTTTACAGAAAAGTTTGAATGGTGAAAAACTGGAACGACCGGATAGTAAAGAAATTGTAAATGGCGTGTTGTGGTTTAGATGTTTGAAATGTAAGAAGAAAGAAATTTATTATTCTTGGTGCGACCATGTATCAAGTGAAGGACATATAAATGTTGCGAGGTTGATTGAAATGGTTTAAGTTATTCTTTAAAATGAATAACTTGAAGGATTTTGTATAGATTTTGGCGAGTGGTTTGATTATTTGCTGGTGTGGCGCGGGGGGTAGCAAATGATGAGAGTTGGGTAAGCTATCTCTTGCTAGGTTTGGGGTGCGTTTAGGGTGAGGCCAGGGTGGGTTGAAGGTGGGCTTGGGCTTAGTTTAGCGTGGGGGGCAGGCGCAGGGTAAGTGGTTCTGTGTTTACGGTACGGGGGTTTAAGGGTGCTTCCACGCTTGTTTGCCCCGGGGCTGGAAAAACCTAATCCAGCGGCAAAAGATTTTATAGCATCGAACTGCAAGGACGGCACAAATTAAGGGGCACGGGAGTAGAGTAAGGCGCAGACGTGCTGAAAGCAACAGCGGAAGGGAACACCAACACATTGAGCGCAAACCTTTCTCAAACCAAGAGCTGCGCAACAGATAGCATGGATGCAGAGGCAGGCATGTGTGCGTGTGGGAGGGTGTTCTTACGATTTGGCAGGCATGTGTGCAGTATGGGTGCAGCGCTGAGCCGGCGCACGTGAGCGGGTGTTCTTACCGTTTGGCACGCATGTGTGCAGCGCCTGGCGGGTGCGCGTGAACGGGTGTTCTTACCATGTGGCCGGCGTGGGTGTAGCGCTGAGTGGGTGTTCTCACAATTTGGCAGGCAGTGTGCAATCTTACCAATTGCCTAGCGGGTGCCCATGAGCTGGTGTTCTTACCATTTGGCAGGCATGCGCGCAGTGCCGAGCGGGTGCACGACGAGCGGGTGCTCTCACCAATTGGCAGACATACAGGCTCACGCGCGCGCTTTCAGCACTGCGCCCAGCCTTCTCGCGCGCCCGCTCAGCACTGCACACATGCCTGCGAAATGAGAAGAACGCCCGCTCGCGTGCCAAGCCGGCCAAATGGTAAGAACACGCGCTCGCCGCTCAGCACTGCACACATCCCTGCCAAAAGGTAAGAACACCCCCTCTCACTCAGCGCTGCACATGACGCCAGGTAAAGACACCCGCTCACGCGCACCCGCTCAAGACTACACACATGTCTGCCAAACAGTAAAAAACATCCGCTCACGTGCACCCGCTCAGCACTGCGGGGTCTGAGGAGATTATCGGTTTAACGCAGAGGAGGGCTTCTCGTGTGACAGATGACAAAAAAGCAGCAAGCAAATGAACAGACAGCGAGTCAGTGCCTCCGGCTCAGTCAACCCCACCTTAGAAGTTGGGTTGCGCATGCGGTTTCATCTCAGGTTTACGCACGACGTTTGTGGTCATCGGTGTTTGGCGAGGGGGGACACGTGCTAGCAGATGGCTCTGCAAGGCTTTCAGAGTTTCAGTAGGAAAGACGGGAAGCCCGGACCCCATGCCCACGATGTTCTGAGGTAAGTTTCAAAGTGCTCGTTTACAACTTTGCAGACTAGTTTCCGTGGGGAATCCCAAAACCCGAGTACTGGTTTTGATGGTTTTGCGGCTGCGCAGAGCACCCGTGTGAACGAGTTTCAGACCATCACATTCTCTCAGTTGACTATCGCTGGTTTCCGAATACCACCCTTGAGTTTTCGAGTACTAGTTTCCGAATACCAGTTTTCGAATACTGGTTTCCGAATACCGCGTTTCATAGTTTCCGAATGCTAGTTTCCGAATACTGGTTTCCGAATACGGCGCTTTAGTTTCCGAATGCTAGTTGGCGAGGCAAAGCTGGAGCGAATTCACCTGGTTGGACCAGCCATTGAACCGCTTGAAGTCAAATGTTCAACGGTCCAACTGGTTGAATTGCGCTGCTTCAACTGGCTGAAGTGGAACAGAACATTTACCAACACCCCAATGCCGACGCACTCGGCTTGTTTTGCAATTTTAGTTCGATCGTCGGGGCTTCTTTACTCTTGGCCGTTTCTCATGCATATTGCGGTTTGTTCATCCTACTCATTGCGCGAAACAGCTTGACACCAGCATCTCTCGCGAGCTTTCTTGCAATCGTTTTTGACCCTGCTCAATGCCACGAAGCTGAGGGGTACCATTTTCGATCCCGCTGAGCTTGCTTCTTTGTGTTTTTGTGCAAGGTCAGCCGAACTCCCACACAGAGCTGAAAGCGCTGAGCCGCGCATGCAGGATCAGCTTGTTGCGCTTGGTGTGCTTGTCACTCCCAATTGAAATGGTGAGGCTAGTGGTTCGTGTGCTGCGTGACCACAAGGGTCACTCCGCGTTTGATACCAGGCTAAATGCGGCCGTTTGCCTGGGGCGGCTCTCCCAGTGGCAGCCTGCTGCAATTTACCACCTGCCAGTTTATTGGTACCGGTGGTTGAGAGGATGCGTATGAATGTAATTGGACCGATCCTTCACTGTTTCCAGGTCAGAGTCGTAAAACTGAGCATTGGAAACATTGTGCCAAGCTGGCTGAGAGGGTGAATGGATGAGCTGGGCAACGAACGTGTAGATTCGCACAGCGTTGTCAATCTTGTTTTGAGGCGCCGCGTCTGCGAAATTTGCTCAGATGTACTTGCAGAAGACCCTTGTAACCAGAAGGCGCTGTACCGGTGGCTAAGCTGCAGACAGCATGGGTTGCATTCAGAGCTGTCAGATTCCTGTGTGCCAGCTGCTACGCAGGGCAAGGAACGGTTGGGCCCAGACTGCTACCTACAAAGATGTTTGCGGAACTGAGGCGAGGTCAGGCATCTTTGCGGAAACTCGGCCGCAGTACAGATTGACAGCAAGCTTGTCAGATTCCAGCACGTTACGTGTTCGGCTTGCTGGTGAAGTGTTCTGCAGCAAGGCTAAGCAAGGTTTGCGCCAAATGCGGAGCAGTGAGAGCCATGGCGCCTGCCGCAAATGACCTCCTGAGGATGGGCCTTGCGCCGGCGGCCCAAGAGGACTTTGCAAAGGCCTTGCAGGTGGATCCAGACAGCAAGGAGATTCAGAGACAAGTGTCGAGCCTTGGGCGCAACGTAAGTCAAACATAGAACAGAGTTTATGAAAGATGATGCTGCAGCACCGTGAACCGTCAAGATTCACTGTGACGCGTGAGCTGGATTCACGGCGCCAGAACTTGCCCCAGGTATTGCGAGAAGCTGCTGACTTTGCCAATTGCTTCTCGGCAATGTGCCCGGCGCTGCGCGGATGTCGGCTGCATGGAATGGTAAGGACAAAACAAAACGCGGAGAGCGCAGCAAGGTGGACAACAAGTGGGCGTAGCGATGGGCACTTTGACGGCATCGCCTGCGATGGACAGGCCACAAGAGCCTTTTTGGGCCTACGCGTGGCCGCGCAAAACGGATTTGGCCGCGCCCTATTGCTCCGGTTGAGCGACCATTTATACCGTCACTGCCCTGAAAGTCTTGCCAACGAGGAATCAGAAGCAACAGAGAGCCAGGACCATCAGTAGGGTGAGTCAAGGCAGCCCACTTCCGGGTGACCAATCAAAAATGTTGTCAGAAATGTTGCTGTCTGACACTTCAGGTCAGGCCAGGCGGCGCGAGGCCATGGGCCGGGCCGCATGAGTGCTGACTGCCAGCCACCGCAGGAGTTTGCTGACACTTTGGCCGTTTGCAGGAAGTTGCGCAGAGGGAGCGGAAGCTGATCATGCAGAACAATTCTTTTGAGGCCGTTTATTAAACCAAAGATATTTCTTAATGACTGCAAGCATGCCTCCAAGTGATACAACAAATGCTTATCCACATTTATCACTCTGCGAGTGGCTGAAAGCAGTGCACCTCTCCCTGCGAAGCTGGATAGCCGTTGTACATGGCGTTGCGCATAAAGTTCCATGGGCTTAGATACGTTCAATGTTGCTGCGGCAAGCATATCCTGAACGACTGCAACACATATGCCGCATGGTTGGAAACCCTGCAACACACACAAAGACAACATGCGCAGGGTGTGGAATGCAGATCCAACCCTTAGCACCTTGTATGCTGTATGCGTGGCTCGAGAATTCAGTAGGCAGCACGCAGTGTAAAAAGCTGTTAGCGGCTTTGTGCAGGTTTACATCGTAGGGTTACCAGCTGTAATGCTTGCGCAGGCCGCCGTGCAATCTGGTCAGAATTTCAACATACAATGTTGCCGGAGATGGCGATGGTGATGCAAGCAGTCATTGGCCGCGCCGGGGCCCGCTGTTCAAATGATCGGCGCAATGTTGCCGTTCTTTGCCACGAACTACCACGCCGCGCAGAGTGTATTGCGCGGGATGAAGAGAACGCGCTACATCATCTAGCCCTGGAAGCAGCAAGGGCTGCGCGCAGCGCCCATTTGGACCAGGAGAACAATCGCAAGCCTCTGGAAACGCAGGAGCAGTTCATTAAGGGCCGCGCTTTCTTTCATGCCCAGGCGAACCATGCGCGGGGAGCAATCTCTGTCGAGGTTGACAATGCTGTTGCACACAAATCCGAGCAGCGCGCGCGGTTCGCCAACCAGCAAAGAGCTCGGCAAAGTGCATTTTCGGAGCATATTCAAACTGAGATGGCAATCGCAGATTGAACAGGGCAGGTGGTGAGTGAGCAAGGGGACAAGTTGCTGGCAGAGAGACTCTTCGTGATTCTGCGGATCGTTTGATGAGCGAACTTGAGAAGGTGCAAAAGAAATTGTCGGCCATGACTCGAGCTGAGATGTGTTTCATGATGCACGTGAAGTACATCCTTCCGCAGCCAGCCCTTCACAGATGCTCATGCAGAATCATTCCTGGAGTGTATGCATGTATGATGACCCTCATCGTTTCCCAACACAGAACCTTTGCCACAAGTGTTGCCGCAGCGACGCGCAAAAGGGAACAGATGCAGCCGCAAGCAGCGGCTCCGTCCACTGCTGAATCTTTGCTTGGTCCTGGTACAATGTATCGGCTGTGAAGGTTCGAGCAGGTCGCAATGCCAGCACCCACCGGACTTCATCATTGGATCATTCACACAGGCAGCGAGCAAGACTTACTTGGTTGGTACAGATCGTGCTGTTCCTCTTCGGAAAAGATCAACTCAGCGTCAAACCCGTCCGGAGCAGATTGCTGACTTCTATGGGTCAGCTGGGTGAAGCTCCGTATGTGTTGCCAAGTACATCGTTGGCCAAAGATGCCTTGAAAATGGATATGACTTTGTGTGGAGGAAGAACAATGCACCATATTTCGTTCGACCTGACGGCAGGGTTGTGGTCATGAAGCTCGATGGACGAGTTCCGAATGTGGATGATGAGTGCGAGGTCATTGCTTCCGAGTCAGCGATGCCTGTTGCACTCGCAGCGTCCGATTATAAAATCGGGGGCGCAGAAGAGTCTTCGTCCTCAAGCGGGGGGCAACCTCCGCCGGATGCTGCATTGTTTCCAGTACGTCCCGATGACGATGACTCACCTGAGCCGGAACGCGATGAAGCGTTGGAAGATGCCGAGGCTGCGAAAGAAAAGGAATCCGGGTCAAGAAGGTGCGCAGAGATGTAAATGCGTGAGGCACTCATACGCCCAAGAATCCGTTTTGCCAGACATGTGTGGGAGCCCAGATGCAAGCGCCCCGAGGCCGCCGTATTGAAGCAAAGTCTTTCGGGGAGCACGTGACTGCAGACCATGTCATATCAAATTATGAGACTTATGGGTTCCAGGGTGAGTGGAATGCGCTTGTCATCAAGGACGTGTTCACGCAGGTTTGCTGTTTCTATTGTTCTGCGCCCCAGGGTGCCAACAGTCTTGTTGACGCATTTATGCATTACATGAAGCCAGATGACGCCTTTGTTTTTTATATTCCGCCAATGCCGGGAAATTGCAGCAGCTGTTAGGAGCATGGGCTGGAGGCACGTTTTCAGCCAGCCTTATGTCAGCCAGTCTTCGGGAGTCATCGAGCGCGAGATCCGCACGATTCTGGAAGGAATGGTTTGCTTGGCTGCTCAGCACCACGCTTTTGCTTTCAATACAACTATTCCAGAGACAAGGACTAATCGCTTTTCGGTGAGAACTCCCGTTTGGTGCAAATATTCGCAAGCGTGTTGGTTCCAAGCAGTCCAAACTTCTGCCAACCTTGGACGAAGGCTTTTTTGTGTGCTATCATGCGCAGCCTGGCTTTACCGATGCTCACGAGCTCTTGGTATTGCCGCTCAGGAAATTGTCGGAGAAGATTCGCAACATCGATATTGCTCCGTTGAGGGTGAAGCGATACGAATTCAGTTTGTTGGACAAGCCCTGGAAAACAGGCAATTGCTGACGACCTTCTGGATCCCCCAGAAAAACTGCAACTTGAGCCTGATTCAGTGTTGCAACCCGGTCAAGAGGTCCACCTGCGCCCGCTGGGCCTCACTGAACATGACCCTGACCGAGTCCCTGACGGGTCTGCTGTTCCACCTGGGTACCAATGGGACGGTTTTATAATGAGCCCATTCACGCTGTTCATGGTCAGGGCGGCACACGTGAATAGCTCCCGTCGCCAGCAGCCGATGCATCAGCAGTCCCTCAGCTGGGTTGTCAACGGGCAAGGCAAGAACATTGAGCATGTGTGACTGCAGTTATTGATCAATACAATAGAAACGAGGTGTGGATCAGCGGGGTCTGGATCAGGAGGGTGAATTTCAGAAAAAGCCATGGGTCATGATCTTGTCATGTTGAGAACATTCATGTCATGTTGAGAACATTCGAGGGCACGCATCCCCGCGGCTTGGTGCGGTTTGGTTCGGTGGCCTTACCTCAAACAAGGAGCTCCAGTAATACACACCAGATTGTTCAGTGTTGACCAACTGAAGTGTTTTAATAGAACTTGTTGTAAACTTATGAGAATTCCCGATGGTTGCCGAAGACTGACGATTAGCTATCGTTTTGCCAAAAACAGTAGGGGCACTTTAATCTACAGTAGTGTCCGCTAAAATTTCATTATGACGCAGCACACCAAAAAAACAACAACAGCCATCAAACACAGAGCGCACCACAGCACAGCCAGCCGGCGCCATCAGCTGACCTCAGAAAGGCAGCCGTGACAGTTGCCAGAACAAGGAGTCCAATTGCCAATGTTGCGCACCATGCTGTCAGTTGAGTCAAATGTCACAAGGCAAGCACACTTTTCACCCCATCGCGGCCCATCGCACTACTAACTACAACTAAATTGATAAAGCTGAATTATTCACAGCTGACAAAGCAGGCAGCCACTGCATCACCAAACTCAGGGGTGTACACCCCAGAGAGTTCAAGCGCTGACGGAATGCCAGTGTAGCTGCCGCCCTCCCCACGCGAGACAAGGTCACTGCCAGCTGAGAATGGCCGTGGTTGGATGAGGTTGCTGAAGCCGCACCACAATTGGAGAGGTTTGACTGAAGGCCCATTGAAGGCTCCCATGTGTGTCACGACCTTTTGGCTTTGGAGATACAACAGAACATTCCGCAGTGTGGGCAACAAGGGAAGGACACTGTTAAGGGGCTGCTCGAGACAAGTGACATTCCCTAGCATCGTGGATCAGAAGTACAGCAGGCGTGTGATCTCCATGAACGCATTTCCAGCTGCGACAAATGACCTTGACGTGTCACCATAGTAGAGGTTTTCTGCTCGCCTCTGGCTGACAGAGACACATAAGGATACGAAGCTTGAGCGCGGTGTTCCAAGCCAAACAAGTGCACCAGAATGAGTCGCAGACAGTGCATCCACAAAAAGCCAGACACCTGAGGCCAACAACATGTTGTGATCACTCTCGTAGAGGATGTCAAAGCACGCGCCCTTAAGGTGTCTCTTCAGAAGTGCGCGTGAAAGATGACCAGCTCCAGCACAGTATTCCACCCACGACAAATGACATTGACCCGAGTCCCGATTGTATAGAGTCCTGTTGATGATTGCCATGAGCTTGTCCGTCAAGGAGAGGTTCGCCAAGCACGGATAGCACATATCCAAAAGATTTCCCCAGCGCACAGACTGTCCATCATGCGCTGCATCAAATGCAAGAAAGTCTTGGACCAGCCTGTGCAGCAGCACCCGCTTTGTGCAGGAACTCAGCCTGGCACAGGGTCAGGTTCCAAGTCAAAGTCAAAGTCAGTTGTCAATGTCATTCATTTCATTAGTAACTGATTTGAGTCAATGGTCAGTTGTCTTTAAATTCCAAAAATGAAGTTAATTGTTTGCCTTTTTTTTGGTACAATCAATGAGTCAACTGTCAGACCACCAGGTGGCACACAAAATAACACAAACGAAACAAAGAGTACTACCTTGCTTGTTGAAAGCTGACACTGACATGAAGTCATACAGCCTGTAATGCGATGCCTGATGGAAATCGTTTTCCACTTTCTGCAGCTGTGGGTCCGGTTGCCAACAATCATCAGGCCGCTCAACAACAGGACACATGACCATGGCTGCGAGCAAGTTATGGACAGTGACAACTAAAGTATATT